AGCTGAGCAAAGACTAAAAAAGTTGGGTAGCATTTTAGGTTACAGCCTTCAATTACAAGGAAATTTTGCTGAGTGTAAGGTGTGAGAACAAAATATCAGTATTTACAGCTACAAAAATGTAAGAGCAAAGAAGAAGCTAGGGCTCTGTCTTTGTGGGGGGCTGTTCAAAAATTCATTTTGAGACATGGTGTGAAACATTCCTAAATAAATCTGTGCTTGAAGGGATTCTCAAGTGGTTTAACATTGCACTTCCATTAAGTATCGGAGCTTGCAGGAGAATAAAGAATGAAATTGAGCAAAATTGATGCAGCGAGGCTGAGATAACCTAATCTTTAGTCTCTAGTATGGGTGAAGCTCTTAAAATGCTGGATGCTACACTTCCAATAATGTAACTCTACTGCAGAGGTACTCAACTTATAGCCCGCAAGCCAAATCTGGCCCTTCATAGGGTGCCATGTGGCCCACTGACCATTTTCAAATTCACAGTGAAAATGAATTTAATTCACACTGGGAATTTTTTTGTTCTTTGAATGTAAATAAGGTGCCAGAGTGCATAAAAAAGCAACGAAATACATATTGTTTATAAAGAAAAAAGTGCCAAGGGAGGATCCCGCGGACATGCAGCAGAGGTCTAGGCTAATCATTTATACATTAGTTATTTATGTTTGTTTATGAACTGGCCCCTGGCCTCCTGTCATTTAGCAAAGGTGGTCCCAAGGCAAGTTGAGTATCTGCTCTACTGTATATTTTGCTTTTCAGGGTATTTCAGTAAAAGTAGAAGTACCGCACTATAAATATACTCAGAACAAGTAATTTCTGCATTAAAAACTTTACTTAAGTAAAAGAACATTTATGTACTATAAATATAAGTAGTAAGTACTCATTTTACAGAAACGCTCCTGTCAGTCTCATATTATTATGTAATTCAATCATTACTCTTAATTCATTTACCTGTAAGTTGTAGTTTAATGTTGTAGCTGATTGAGGTTTTCATAACTTCTTTATACTGTTGGGTAGTTTAACATGTGACAATGCATTATATTTTGAGAAGTGAATGTTTTGTATGTCCAATTTTAATCTGAAAAGTAACTAGTAGGCAGGGATGTGTGATTTTTAAAGAGCTGTGATAGAGAAAGTTCTCACATTCTCTATCACAGTGTGGAAACTGCTCAGCCGATGACAGAAAGGAGCTTAATGATGTAGTGAAAGCAGCATCAAACATCACTGGTCAAGATTTGCCAAGAATCTGCGAAATTTATAACACCTATTTGTTTAGGATGGGTTTTAAAGTAGTCAGAGAGCTCTTTCATTTAGCAAAAGCACTTGTGGCCCCCCTTCCTTTAAGAAAAAGGTTGTGTAGTATTAAGAGCAGAGCTACTCGTCTCCATAACACCACATATCCTGAGGCGGTGAGGGCCCTGAGCTCCTCAACATCAGTTACCCTAGAGGGTTTCTTAATGCGCCAGACTCCAGACACTTGTATTTTCTTTCCTCTGTTAGAGTATTTTATATGTTTATGCTGATGTTTTATTTACTTTGCTGGTGTATTTTTGATATATTTATGCTGATATGTATTTGCTTTGTTTTCTCCAACCCAAGCACACACCAAGAATAATTCCAATCAATGTTTCATAGAAACAGTAATAAATTATTGAATCTTTAGCTGTCAACCAGGCTCCTCACAAAGGTCAAGGAGGTGGGATTAAACACCTCACTGTGCATGTGGATCCTTGACTTCCTGACAGGCAGACCCCCGGTGGTAAGAGAGGGCAGACACTCCTCTTCCACCCTCATCCTTAACACCGGGGCACCCCAGGGCTGTGTTTTGAGTCCCCTGCTGTACTTCCTGTACACATGACTGTGTAGCCACTTAAGACTCCAACAGCACCATTAAGTTTGCTGACAACACAGCTGTGGCAGGCCTAATTACAGATAACAATGAAAAGGCCTACCTGAAGGAAGCAGTGACCCTGACCCACTGGTCTCAAGACAGCATTCCACTCCTGAATGTCAGCAGAACTAAGGAAATAATAGTTGACTTTGGAAAAAAGCAGCTAAGAAATTACACCGCCCTTAAGTCCTCAGTGGAGAGGGTGGATAGCTGCAAATACCTTAGTGTCCACATCACCGAGGGCCTGACTTAGGCGCTGCATGCTGACTCAGTGGTGAGATAAGCAAGGCAGAAAATGTTTTACCTGAGATGCCTGAGGAAATTCCAGGTATCCCCCTCAATTACTGAGAAATTCTCCACCACGGAGAGCCTCCTGATAGGAAACATCACTACCTAGTATGGACTGCACTGAACAGGACCGCAAGGCCCTGCACATATTGGTTTGTTAGGCTGAACATTCTATAAGTACTCTTCTACCCTGCATAAAGGATGTTTACACCAGACGCTGCAAAAACAAGGCCAGGAGAATCGTTAAAGGTCCCAGCCACCCGGATAACTGCCTTTTCACCCTGGAGAAGGTACCAGCTACACCAGACCAGCACTGAGAGGCTCAGGAGGAGCTTCTACCCTCAGGTCACAAGCATACTGAATGATGACCTTGCCTTTTCCTGTACATTGACATTTATTTATCATTGCTATGACTATAAATTGACAGAACTGGTAACGACTGCATTTCACTGACAATGTTTTTATGGTTTCATGTGACAAATAAATTGACTGAATGCATAAATGTAGTGCAATTAAAAGTACAATACAACCCTGTAGTGGATTAGAAATAGTATACAGTTCTACAATATTCTATCTAAAGGAGGTTGTTCATTTTCCCAACTTATAATTTGGAAACGATCTAGGGATGGTTTTAAATGTTTTAAACTCACTCCTACAAAGATGCATACAATTTCCAAAGATAACTCACCAAACTGTCCTGGATACAAAACTAAAGATGGAACATTTATTCATCTGTATTAGGAACGTGATCTGCTAAAAAATTTCTGAAATTCAATTCACCTCTTCACTAAATCAGCTTTGGAAATAGAATTGGATTTAAACCTATGTCTCTACTTAATAAATGATACGCCAGATTTTAAAATTTGATTAAAAAATGCAGAGTGCTAATTACTATAACATACTTTGCAAAGAAATGCATACTTGTTCTTTGAAAAAATGAATCTTCTCCAACCTGTTCTTAGATGAAATATCGCAATTCTTTCCTTGAGAGAGACTGACTCAGGAAAAACATGACTGTGGTTTTATTTTTCTAGACCACTGGTTTCCATTATTTATTGCTCGGAAACTTCAAGAGGGAATTAATAATGTACTTGAATAATGTGTGGCTGTGAGCCTACTGTAAATGCATGCAGAGACACCATGAATTAAGGACATATTATATTATTGCTTAGAATTTTGTTGCTACTTTTGTATTTGTATCTATGTGAATGTATGTCTATAGTATAGTTACAATGGGCCCCAGTGCACGCTATTATGATTATGAAGCGCGCGTGCGCACACACACACACACACACACACACACACACACACACACAGGTGTACACATATTTTACCAACAGTGTATCTTACTGCCGCTCTTATGTTATATCCACTTGCAGATGTTCCCATTCTCATTACATGATTAAACAGAGACTTGATATTGGACAACATCAACATACATATTACCCAGCAATCATTATTACATATCTGTATATGACAAAAACTACAAACGAAAATAGGAAATTAAGTTTATCTAAATACTTTTTTGTAATTATAGGTTTGTTTTTATAGTGTATGGAATATAGTATATAATTTTGTCATAGATACTATTTTATAAAAACAGAAAACCATGATGGAGATGGGTTTGCCTTTTAAAAATCGGACCATCTTCTGTAAACCCTAGAGATGGCTGTGCGTGAAAATCCCAGTAGATCAGCAGTTTCTGAAATACTCAGACCAACAACCATGCCACATTCAGAGTCACTTAAATCACATTTCTTCCACATTCTGATGCTCAGTTTGAACTTCAGCAGGTCGTCTTGACCATGTCTACATGCCCAAATGCATTGAGCAGTTGTGACGTGATTGGCTGATTAGCTACTTGTGTTAACAAGCAGTTGAAGAGGTGTACCTTTTAAAGTGGCTGGTGAGTGTATGTGTCTGTTTCATTTATGATTATTATAACCACTTGTTTTGTCTGGTATACTCTCATGTTTAAGAAAGAAATATTATTTGTATTATAATAGATTATAAACTCTACAGGGAAGGTTTTAACCATAAGCCCCTCCAGGTTTCTTACCCTTCCTGTACAATCCCTGCCATGTTTGTTTTTATATACTTGTTTTTGTCAGATCTTGTGTGCTAATAAAATTCAAATTCAAACACTGGCGTACTTCCAGGTGGCAATCAGGCCCCTCCACCCCACAGTCCCCGGTGCAACCACACTGCCTGCACTGTCTATATTTACACGTCTGGTGGAGGGTAGGGATACTGTTACTGAGATTACTGCTTATTGTGCACTCTTCTGAAATAAAAAGACGGGGGGGGGGGGGGGGGGGTTGTAGGGACAGTGTGCAGTAATGACTACCGCAGCTTCTCTGCGCCCAACAAATCTAATGCACTTCAGATTGCAAGTACTCCTGCTTTCAGACTGGGGGAGTTTCTGCACCCTTTATTGTAATGATAACACTGCACAGCCTTGATAGCATAATCTTTGGATAACACACCGCTGTGAAGCCTCTCAAATGTGGGTGTAAAGCAGTGAGGTAAGGTTTTGTTTCCTGTAGCTGCAGACATAGATCCTATCAGCGACCCATGGGGGGCAGTTTAAAGATAGTAGAAGAAGAGTAGCTCCCACTTTGGGATCACTGTGACTGCCATGTGCTATTAAACTAATCAAACTGCGGTGCAATTAGGAAATACGACCTGCGTTGGTGTTAATTAATAGCAACAACACGAACTTATTATCTTATTGAGTGGCTTCAATCAGATGTTAGATCCCTGTGAAGACTCCGGAAGGCGGAAGGCGCCGTTGCCTAGCAACCGAGCGACCAAACAAGCGTGAGCAGCATCTGAGGAGATTGACAACGTGATATGATAAGCAGCTCGACACACTAGCGTTTCATGATAATTAAACTTATCTTTAGATATCGTCTGATAGCTGTAGAGGTAGATACCTTTAGATATTTGTATTTAATTTGATATAAAATGGCAGGGAAGAAGAAAGAAGCGAGTCTGCAGGTTGTACACACACAACATGGCGTCTGTGATGTTGACAAGAGTCCTCTGTGATGATATTTAAGCTTAACTTTATGAAACTTTGATATTCTTTTTTGACTCAGGCTTCTGTGACAAACCAAGAGCAGTGGGAGGAAATGCTTGCAACCAAAGGTTTAACAGGTAAGAGCTTAAAAAGTAAAAGTTGTTGTCATGTCCCTTTAAAAGTGAACCCACAGCATCACAACACTAAGCATCTGTCAATGCTGTTGTATAGTTGTAACTTGAAAAAACAGTGTGTGTGAATGAGCTCTGTCATCGTGATAGTAATTTATTGTATGCTGCTGCCCCACTGTGTTCACTGGGATAACTGCATACTGAAGCCTTGCACCACACACACTCACACATTACTGTCTCTCCTCTAGTTGTAGATGTGTATCAGCAGTGGTGTGGCCCCTGTCGAGCTGTGGTCAGTCTCCTGCGAAAAATAAAGAACGAACTGGGTGATGACCTGTTACACTTTGCCACAGTAAGCCCTGAGTGAAAGTAAAATGTGAAGAGTTTAAATTCAAATTTGTGAGGGGGCAGCCCTAAACTTGTATTTGTGTTTGTGTGTGTGTGTGTGTGTGTGTGTGTGGTGCAGGCCGAGGCAGACAGCATTGATGCTTTGGAAAAGTATCGAGGGAAATGCGAGCCCACCTTCCTCTTCTATGGGGTGAGTGTGTGTGCGTACAGCATATAGGCTACTGTGTGCATGCTTGTACAGTATAGTACAGCACATACAGTATAAGCCATCAGCTCTGTGTGTTTTGCCGTTTTCCCCCTTTGTATTCTATTGATGTCCTAATATTTCCACTCACAAGTTATTTATATATTTATCTGTTTATTTTCTGTCTATATTTCTTATTCCCTTTCATCATGATTCTGTAATGCTCAGATGTGTAATGATGTAGGCCAGGAAATAGGGCCGTGAATGGAGTCGTGATCTCTCTGGTGGTGATGCAATATGCTGCCCATTATTTCATTTGTATTATTAATTCTCTTTTATCAGAATTGTGCTCATTCCTGAGCCTGTACTTTTTTATTTTGATGTTGTCACAGACTCATTGGGTTTTTTTTCTGTCTTGCTTACATGCGCCTGTCAAAGCCTTTCTGTATGTCACTGCTTGTTGTACAAATGCATAAAACATAAAAAAGGTCTTTGTGTTGAATAACAGGGTGGGGAGCTGGTGGCTGTGCTGCGAGGGGCCAACGCTCCTCTCCTTCAGAGGATGATTGTGGAGGAGCTGGCCAAGGAGAAGTTGGTCCTGGAGCAAGGTGGTGAACGCAAAGGGGTGAGCAGCAAGATACACACACTTTCACATACAGAGCGCAGTAATCCGTTCACGCATATTTATATTCTAGTGCTGAAACAAATGGCCTTTTGCACAGCAGACGTTTTGACTTGTCATAGCAGGAAGAGCACAGGTGTTACTAATACCATTAACGATGACGTTCTTTTTAAGTGTCCCTGTGAGCAATGACAACGTGACAGAGAACTGAAGTAGCTAAGTGGAATTCAGCCATCTCAGCCATTAATTGTATTATCTACACCTGTGACGTATTAAAACGTCTTCCCGTGAAAACAGCCAACAGCAGTCAATTAATCGATTAGTCAATCTGCAGAAAATTAGCGATTATTTTTTGCGTTTTATCCTGATCTTTTAGAACAAATATGAACAAAAACACAAACACCACCCTCCATGATAAACCCACCAGCTTACAATCAGACCAAAGAAAAGGGAGAAAAAAATGGTTGCTGGACAAGCCAATATTTGTTGATGCATGTCATGATATGCTATATCACAGGCACAGGCTGAAATAGTCCATACACTGTCATAATACTGTACAGACAACCACACTCATAAATCATGCACACAACTAGGTTACAGCCAAGTCCATTTGCTTACTGATATAATCAGAACAGGGGCCCCATATTTATGTAATTTTTCATGCAAAATGAAAAACAATGCTAAAAATTATCTGGTTCCAGCTTCTCACATGTGAGTATTTTTTGCTTTTTGTGCAGGGGTTAGGCCCTTTCTCTGGGTTATGGTGACATTTTGTCGAGATGCAGAATTTTGGCACTTCACTATTAAAGGAATACTTCACACACAAAAAATGATCATTTATATGTCAATTGCTCACCCTTACGTTACGTTGAGTTCTTGAAGAAAACTGTTTTTCTTGCATGCCTTCAAGATCAGCCAAGAATCCAAAAACTGAGAAATCCTTGATTAATTGAAATAGAAGGGGACTGCGTTTACCAGCAGCCAATCTTGGAACCCATCGGCTACAGTATCTGTCAAACAACCATCAGTCTGTGCGGGTGATAACCAGTATTTCAGTCTGATCCGGTGAAGCCAGCAGATATCCAAACCAAGGCCTGGTCATTTCAGCCAATCTCTATGAGTCAATATCTGCATTTGGATGCAGATAAAAGCTAATTCAAAGCTAACTTGTCATCAGACTGTAGCCAATAGGTTCAGAGATTCCATTTCAACAATGCGTTCCGTCTTTCCACACAGTCTGTTTACCAGCAGTTAAAACGTGCTTGGTCAGTACTACTCGGAATACAAACCAGAACACTTAGAGTACCAAAAAGTCCCGTCGTAGCCTGGTTCCAGACCATAGACCCCGCCCACTCAACTGAGTAGGCTTGCAT